TCAACAGGATATCAAGAAAGGAGGATCCCAAGCAAAAAACCAAGGTTGGTCAGAAATCAAAGGTTAATATTTAGAAGGTAAGAGACTTGGTAAGATGTTTATCCTATTCATGTAAGCATAAGCATAAACATGTGGTTCATCATATGACATCACCCCTAATACCAATTAAAGACTAATCAACCTCTAATCAGAATATGAAACGTAGGTAATAAGGAGTGCTATAAACTAATCAACCTTATGTTTATTTACCAAGCTTTCTTATTTATTGTTATAGTTGTATAAACAATCATCTCATGATTTAAGTTAATGATTTTAACCCCTTTATTTTTGCGATGAATTAGAATTTTGAAAACTATATTTATTATATTAATAGGAATCTTAATGCGTTCTTAAAAAATAATAATTATAAATGAGTTTTTTTAAAATGAAATTTTTACAGTAAGGTCATGGTTCGAGTCGACTCTGACTTCTCCGAAAATGGGAAGAATGTGAGCGACCAACACCGTCTTTAACTATTAATTCCATACATCAAAAAATATTTTAAATAAAAATTATCTTAATAGTTAAACGAATTTTAATGGAATTTTTATAGTAAGGTTACGGTTCGAGTTGACTCTGACTTCTCTGAAAATGGGGAGAAGGTGAGCGACCAATACCTACTCTAAACTATTAATTCCATGGTAAAAAACTTTTAAATAAAAATTATCTTATTACTTAAACGAATTTTAAATGGAATTTTTATGGTAAGGTTACGGTTCGAGTTGACTCTAACTTCTCTGAAAATGGGAAGAAAGTGAGCGACCAACACCGACTCTAAACTATTAATTTCATACTAAAATGTCTTAATTACCTTATTACTTAAATGAATTTCAATACTTCAGTATATTTTAAAACTGCTCAAACCAATTTTTCAAACCAGAACTACGTAGCCTTGATTTCCCTATTGCACATAGGGATACGTATGAGCAAGATGAACTCTTTCAGGCACAACAATAAAAAATAAAACATTTCGCTTTAATTACTGAATTTTAATAAAGAATTTTTAAGGGTATAAAAGTCCATGTTATTAGCGAGGGTACCGTTTTAATACGGGCGGACGAAGTGCTAAAACATTCCCCAATCCGTAATCGACTCCCGAGCTCAGAATCTATATTCAAAGACCAAGTTCTCCAAATTGGGCATATAGAGAGTTTTCTACGTTTTATCCGCAAAAAACGTAGTGGCGACTCCAAATCAATTGGAAGAGGTAGAAAGCGACTTCGCCTCTCCCTAAGTCGCAGGCCGGTTTTCCAACTGAAAATCGGGTCGCGAAAATCTACAAGGAAGGGGGTCTCTTGCCTTTTAAACGTAGTTAAAGATTGAGATAAATGTATACCATATCAAATTCAATATTCAAATTCTGATGTGTAAATAACGAACCTCGTAAGAAAGGAATAGCATTATTGTTTGCTTAATTTGTTCTGACTTAAACAATGGCACTATAAGCCCACAGAAGAACCCACGTGCATAGATGCTAAAGATGTGTCTAACATCATTACATATTTAACCTTATCCCTTTTGTCTACGTAAACTTTTTAATATTCGAATTTAAAAACATTATCTTTTATATTATTGAGTTCATCGTGAATCACATATGGGAATGTTGTGTCTTGGAATATAGGAAATACTCAAGTGACACTCTTTCAAATATCCTAGTAGTTCAAATTTGAAGAATTGTGGTATACATGCATGTAAATATGAATTTTGCCATTCAACCATGCAACTGCTAAAACCAAGGAACGATTTCATTAGAACATTTGTAGTGGCTTCTTAGTTCTTACGTAAATATTGTGGATATCGTAAGCCTACTTCACAATTGGAGTCTTAAGTTGTCCTCCATAACCTACACAAGGTATTGAATAACAAATCGTTCTTGGCATTATTCTCGTCCAATAATATTAAAAAAATTATTAGTGTGTGGATCCGTTTATGAACAAAGGATAAGGTTCATTGAAATGTGTTTTGTTTTCTGATTTATTGAGAAATATATTGATGTGGTAAGCATTGATATAGTGATGTAAAATTCTGTTAGATTTCATTATAACTAAAAGGTCAAAAGTTCTATTATGAAGAATAATACTTATTGGAAGGGGCAACTCACACTATGAAAGATATCAGTTCCTCATGTGTAGGGGGGAGAGATATCCTTACTGATATCAAAAATATTTAACATCACGTTCTTCTAAAAATTATACCATCAATGTGGACTTTTTTTTTTGTAACTTAATTCAACTTGTACAATGCGGATCACACAAAGTGGGGGATGCGAAAACGTCACATGTTGCTAACTTGCTATTGACACCGACAACAATCATATATATGAATATAAATTGTAAAATTAAGAATAAAGATATTGAAAATGAAGCCTTAATTATTTCCTTGAGGATATCTAATTGCCTTCACATGTGTCAATAAACAAAAAAATAATAACTTTGTTCTGTCATATGTGGATAAACTCCAACGAGTCACGCTCATGGCCTTGAAAATGGGAGTAGAATAATCATCTTAAATAATACAGAGCTATCGTGTGGCGACACGAAGAAGTTGCGTGTATAACAACACTGGAAGTGGCATATAATAAATTATAAAGGTTTGGAAAATGACTTTATTATATAATGTATTATTTATGTAAATATTTTTATACTTAATATATCATTCATCATATATTTGTATTACTTATATTTAAAATTCAAAAATAGTTAATAAAAAATGGTAGATAATACAATGATACTATAAATAACTTTTACACTATTAAAACATGCATTTTATTCTATTTTGTTATATTGATGAATGAGGTGTGGTTTTGGGGTCAAGTTCAACTTAATTTTGCAGTGACTTGTCATTTTTGTCAAGGAGTTAGAAATGGGCAATGGATCTAGCATATGCTTTATCTATCCCTGGTGTAGATATTTTGTTTCATACGGGTGAAATTATTGGATCATGTACTTATTATTTGCATAAAGGATATGAGATTGTTCTGCTATTCCAATAAAACCGATGATTAGTGAAGTGAAGCAATTAATTAACTATGAATATCTTCAAAGAAATCGTGTCTAATTATATTGGTCTATAAAATAATTGAGAGAGGTAACATAGATTTAGGTTTGAATTAATTTTCATAATTCATTAATGGTTTGTTCTGATTTTGAAATACAGAAACAAGCCCCTCCTCACCCTATATTTATAGTTATACACATAGTCTGAACCTAAGAAACGTCATAAATTTAAAGTAGTAATATATTTGTACATATATATACATGAGAATGGAAATAGTGAAAGCAAAAAATGATCTCAGTTCAGCACTTTAGGGTTCACTCTTAACACACACTATTTATCTATTATCATGTTGGGGCCGTGACCCATGATATATACATGATTGGTTATTTCACATTTTGTATGAAAGAGTTTCTACAGAAAGGGAAAAGGATGAATTTGCGTTGGGTTTCAACCTCATTCAAATACTTACATTTTATGTTTTTACCATCTATCAACTGAGTTGCATTTTGCGGACTATTATTGTACTTTTGTTGGGGTACAAATTGTACATTTTATTAGGGTGGACTAAGGATCTTTCTTTAATAATACTAAGAGAAAATGTTATAGGTCGATTGAATATTGATTTTGATACTTTTTTATAGGAAATTCATTTAAAAAAGGGGAGATTGTAGTTCTGGATTAATTGTCTGAATTAATTAAACTCATTATTGTTTGGATCATGGTTATATACGTAAGGATATATTTACTCTTGAATTATTAGTATAGTTATCAAAATTATATAAATTGAAAAGAATCTTTGGTGGTCACAATACATTTTATCATGAATTGAAGGTAAATATTAAGTTATTTTGAAGAAAAATATATTTTATCTTTAATTCAATAATGAAATAGATTATTTGGTATAATCATGAGTATTCACCCACTCTAAAGGTAAGGAAGATAAGATATAAAATTAAGCCATACTATTTATGAAATACAATTCAAGTTTTATCGAAAGGAAAATTTTACAATTATCAATTATATATAAAGCTTTTCAACATCTATGATAACTTTCCCAAATTTGGGTTGCAATAGTGTCACAAACTTCATCCATAGCACAATACCAAGGAGTATATGGAGTGAGGATGAAAAAGATGTTATTAAATAGTGCACTTCCCATTTCCGACGTTTCCAGAGAAAATGGTGGAAACAATTTTTCCTTTAACATTTTTTCAACCATATTTTATATTTTCAACAAAAATGAAAACATGAAATGGGTAAAGCAAACACAGCCAACATTTTCTAATTGTGATATTCTCTTTTTTTTTGTTGGGCCTTAACATCAAGGGTTTCCACATGGGCTTAGGCTAATTAGGGTTAACAGAAACACAATTTTCATTGACGAATAATACAAAGCACTCAAACAAATGAATCAACTTAACCATTTGTTCTATATATAAGACCTCCTTTCTTCGTCTCCATAGATTAAACTAAAACTAGGGTTTACAGAATTAGTGATTCTTATTCTTTTTAATCCGCCTTTTCAAATTCTATTTCAAACTGTGCTTCTCTATCTGGTTGGTGCGGATCATTTCAATTCCCATTCAACTCGTTCCCTTGAAGCAAAATCGATTTGTGTTCTTCTTTTATAATATATCCCTGCGACTCTTCTATGTCGCTTTCGTAAAACAAAGGAGCAAATAAATTTCATTTCAATTTACAAAATTCCTTTTTTTATTTATTTGCTCGAGTTTTCACGTTTATTAAGGAACTGGGTGTGTTATATTTTCAACTGTGACGAGCCTACAGACCTGTAATGAATTGCGGCCATGATCGCAAACATTATGAACATCTAAGGGACTGAGTACACTAATTCTTCCCCCAGTTTTATAATTATTATTGTTTTGTTGTATTACAATGCTATACTTGTGTGGTTTTACTTATTTGTTTATGTTGTTGCTGGTTTAATGTTTGTTTGTGTTTGAAAGGCTTCGAATTTGAGGAGATTTTGCTTGCACTTTTATCACTGTGTTCAGTAACGTTTTATTGAAGCCAATAAATGTGTTCCCCTCGCTATCCAATGCTGCAATTTGTGTAGCATTAGGACGTCGGGGAACAAAATTTCCCACTTTAGTGTGGTGCTAAATTGTTATGATGCGACATTTCACGGATCTTCATTGATTTGTTTATGATCCCATTCTTTTTAAATCATATCAGATGATGAAATTGGAAATATCTTAGGACAACTTCCTACTCAGTAATTATTGCTGTGGATGAGAATAAATTTTCCATGCTGATGATGTGATATACATTGTAATTATATATCTAATCATAATTGGTTAAATTTTTGAAGAGGAAATATTGTAGATTTTACAAGTGAACATGTTTATGATTATATCTATACGTTTTTGCAAAAAATAAATAATGAAGAGTGACTTGTTTGTGTACATGCATTATATGCATTTAGAGGAAGGTTATGGACGATAAAGAGAAGCTTCTATCGAGTTGGTTATCTCTTGTATCGTGTTAGATGGACATGTATTGTTCAGTGTACACAAAAGTGTAATTGAAGTTTGGGTTTGGATCATAATATCACCGTGGTTTCCTAAACTTGAAACCTAAAATATAGAAAAATTATTAGCAGAGACATGAGAGAAAAGGAATTTTGGTAAATATTCAATATTTGGGGCCTAAAATCTATTTTATTTGTTGAATGGAAAGGCTTTGTTATGTGTTTGGTATTTGCTAATTGAAAAAATATTAAAAAAATAAGGGATGAAGTTGTTATTTATTTTTGTCAGTTGAGTAAATTGGAAGAAAAGAATATCTATATGGTTATTGATGGATTATGAAGCTATATGTATGGTTGGGATATTCAAAGGTTAGTTCTGGTGCAACTTCCCTATAATATGGGTATATGGTATTGTGTGGATTATATGGTTACAATTTATGATGATGAAGTTAGAGTTCATATTCTTCCGTATCATCAACGTTTGCCTCAACTTGTCATATTTAATATTTTGTAGCGTTCTTTTTCTCCATTCAGTCCTTCACCAGTCAAAGTTCCTTATAGCTTCTTACGAGTATTTCTTGCCACTTTTGTTATGTACGTGCTGGTGTGGCATTTATTCAATGTGTGTATATCTAATCTTACGTTTTGACCTTTATAAACCTTTTCGGAGTTTGCTTTAGTATACAACACAAGTGGAAAGTATCATGTTTTATGTGTTATATAAAACATGTCTTGAATAAGTTATTGTTTTCCGTTCAGATGTAATGTTGTGATTGGGGGATGATGGCATTTATTTTCGAGATAAAAGACCTTTGCGAAAAGGTTTACTTTCTTGCTTTTCCATGTTAAAGATTAGCTTAGTTACTATTATATGTGTATTATAGTATTTTCATTGATGGGTATTTTGGTGTTTGATCCGGAGGTCAGGATCTTAGTGAAGAAAATTCTTAATAAAGTTCATATGTTGATATCTGCATGGAAATTTATCTAATTTTACTTCATTACCTATTCCTTTTTATTGAAGTTTGTAATTTCATATAGTTAAAATTATAATTACATCCTTTTCATATTCGATTTCTCTGACTTATGTATAATAAATTATACTTAAATTATTTTATTATATTTAAAATTATTTAAATTGTCAATTATTTCTTTATTAATAAACTCAATCATTTCCCTAGACATTTGTAATTAATTTTTTTTAACAACTACAAAATCAACCATCTAACTTTAATGCAATTGTTATTATTTTACTCTTAAATAAAATAATATAATCAATTATCGAATAATACGTTTATGTTATAAAAATTATTGCTTTTACACATGAATTGAGATCCTCAGATTGAAGGAATGAAAATTTTACAAGATTTAAAATTATCAAGTGAATACTAATTTTATTTATGTTCTTCAAAGAAATAAAAATACAAAAAAATAGATAAAATAAATTACAATACGTAAAATACATAAAGTAAATTATAACAGAAGTAATTAAAAAAATACATAAAATTGATAAAGTACATTAAAGATAATCCCTCCTCGCATAAAAAATATAATTAAAATGTTACAACTTAAAACAAACTACTGACGATACTGTTAGCATTGGAAATGGGGAATTGAATTGGTATGCGTGTGAGAGAGAAGAGTCAAACGGTCACGAAGACAATAATAAAGAATATCTATTCCTTCCCAACGGTAACTTCTCAGAACTTGCTCACAGACTGGCCCCACTCTTTCAACCAGACTAAAAGCATATCAAACAAAAATCAAGTAATAAATAGATCAATAATGACTATGGAAAATAACAGAAACTAACTAAGTCAACGATCAAATCCATACATAACTCGTAACATACACCTTTTTATTTTGTCTTTTAATTCATTTTTCTTTACTTACTTTACTTTATTCACATTCCAAGACCGCAGTAATACCCAACGATTTTTCTTCTATTTTTACGAATTTTTGCATTCATTAATTTCCGACTTGCACGCTTCTTCACAACCCCAAGTTGCATTCTCGTCCTCAATTAGTAGTTAAGTAGTAAACATTCAAAACATATTTTAATACCAATTTTATGGAGGGTGATAATCTGTCCTAAAATGATATCCTCATACTTGTCTCGACTAATGGTAGAAATAGGTCAGACCGTCTATCAGATATCTATTATCTGACCTATAACAGGTCAGGTCAGACCTTTTTAGTAAAGAGGTCAGACTTAGGCTTCTCCAAAAGCTTATTTAACTAAAATAGGTCGGGCTAAGGCCTTTTAAAAAGTTTATTAAGCCTAACAGGCCGGTCTATATATTTATAAATTATTTTTATAACATGTTTAAAAAACTAAATAATAATTTTTTTTTATGTAAATCCACTAAAAATTAGAGATTAAGCTATTTAATAATTAGATATTTAATTGTTGAGACTTGAGCTTAAATACATAACTCAACTCATGTTAAATATTAGAACAATATCATATTTTACTATGATATTAAAATACATTGTTTTGTATATTATAACCTCAAATACACCACAAATCCTTCGAATAGATTACGTAACATTGGAAGATGATGAAAATAATTATGATAACAATATAAAAAAATTAACACTAATTGCTATAATTATAATAAAATTTTCTAGTTTATACATTATTTTTTTTTATTTTTTTTATTTTTTTTACCTTAGTAGATCTTTAAACAGACTAACAGGCCAGACCAGACTTTTAAACAGGTCAGACCTAGGCTTTGAAATTTTTTTAAACAGACTAACAGGTCAGACCCAAGCTTCTATGTGCTATATAGGTTGAGTCTGTTTAAGCAAAGTCTGGCCTGACCTGACCTGTTTCCACCCATAGTCTCAACCAATTAGATATCGTCATCCCATTTAAAAAATTCAAATCACTTGCATTTTTTTCTTGCATTTCTTTCTCTTTTTCTAATTGGTCGGGACAAGTGTCAATTTTACTTCCATTTCATAAAATCTCTTCTAAAAACTATTTAGGTAGATATCTATTTATATAAGATATTAAATTACATGTGAATCACCCATGTATAATTGTGAATCACCCATGTATAAGATATTAAATTACATGTGAATCACCCACCAATAAAATTCGAACTTACAATCTTATAATCTTCCATGTATAATTGTGTTTTATATAAAGAAAATGTATTGTATTCCTACTTATTCCATGCATTATAAAATTTAACCTTTTTAGGTTTCTTCCCCCAAAGACTATTAGCAGTATTGTTTTAGAAAATAATTTTTTTTAGCCTTCTGATTTTTTTCTCCATTCAATAATTATATGGATAATAATGCACATAAAATGATGGAGAAAAAGGAAATAATATGAATATTTTAGTAATTGTATAATAAAATCTTCATTAACTAATAATTTATAATTTGTGTATATTAACTTCAAATGAATGCTATAATTTTAGAATTGAGGGAGTATCGCCTCTTTATAAACCGATATAACATTGGTTGGTATTTATATTGTACAGTAATAATATACTAATATCTATGTACTATTAGCATAAATATTTATGTATAGTTAGCATATTATCTATTATTCATTTGCATTAGTTTTTTTTAATAGTTAATAATAATTAAACATGAATGATACATGATATAATGACAATGTATAAAACTCATAAATTATCTATGAATATATTTTTTAGATTAGCAACTTAACAAAATAACTTTATCACCAATACTCATTTTTACATAATATAAAAGGTACTTTTGGTACAACTTTTATGGTACACCATGTTAACATGCAATTACCTTAAAAAAAATTACTAGGGTTAACAAACCTTATATATATTTACTGGCAAATAATAAGAGATATAATGACTTAATAAGTATTCGTGATAATTACAGGGAGATAACAAGTGGAGTTTATGTTACATACATAATAAACAATTATTAAGGAATGAAATTAATATCTCATTTCATGAATATTCTTTGAAATTATATTTAAATATAATTATTTTATATAATATATCTAATTATTAACTTAATCCTTACCTATTAATTTCAAGCGCAATAATTAAAAATAACATTGATGACTTCTCATTAGGGGTGAACATTACTTTGATAAGCTTGACTTTTATACAGCACTCAAATGATGACAATTGGGCCAATTTCTAAATTCGAACTCGACTTAGAGTCGTTTAAAGATATTGATCTTATTCGGCACTAAATATTGATCTATTCTAATATTTGAATACAAATCGGACCTTGACACGATGAAACCTGACAATATTCATGGCTGATCACCATCAAATTAAACCATATGAGCTATTAGAGTTGACCTGCGTAGCCCAACCTTTCACTCTAATTATTATATGTATTGATAAACGGTCTTCCTATTTATTGACGTTTTTAATGCTACACTTGGTTGGACAAAATAAAATAAGTAAAGAGAAATATGTGAGAAAATGAATGGAAAAAAAAGAATAGTAGAGTGAAGTTTTGTGATGTTTGCTTGTATAGAAAATGACTAGAGATTAAAGAATTTTAATGAATACCATTTCATTTTTTACTCTCTCTTCTTAAACTCTCTCTTCTCTACCAAATGATATCTCCTTAATCTAAAAGTTGTAAACTTAAAAATGTCCCCATAAGTAAACTTAAAATTGAGTGGATGAAGTATATAATATTACAATTGTCTTCCATCCACCACCATTAGTAGTGCCCTCCTATCATCACATGACATCTTCTCGTGATCACCTCATAGACATTTACAGTGTGTAAAATCTTTTTAATTGAAGTTGAGAGCATTCACAAGTTCATTGAG